GCCTGCTCACCCTCCTCTAGGGCTGCCCGCCCCACAGGGAGAGATGCCACAAGGGAGCCAGCTCTGCAGGACGCACAGCCCTGGGCTCCCTGGGACCTGGGGAAATGGCGTAAGCCCTGGACTAAATGCACCGGCGCATGTGCCGATGCTCTGACGGCTCAGGGCGTCACACAAACGGGTACGTTCCCCTGGCCGCTTGCTGAGGTGAAGGCACTGTCCCCACATCCAGGTGAGATGTCTAACAGGCACCTAGCAGCAGGAGGCCGCGGAGTCCCCCGAACCAAAGTGTAACGGAGGCCGTGGGGGTTGGGGATCAGAGGTAGGCAAGGTGCAAACCAGAAAGCAGAAGGTGGAATGAAACCACGGAGAACGCGCGAGGCTCGCGCCACCCGTTAGTAAGAACGGGCAGGAGCCTGGGTTTCTCATCAGAAAGCACACATTGAGCGTCCTGAACTCACTGTACCCCGAGCTGGCCTCCAACTCACGCCTCCCCCACGTCGGCGGTCCCACCTCGGAGTCCCGCGACAGGGTGGCGCTGCTCAACTCCCCGCCGCACAAAGGGCGGTGTGGGCGCAGCAGCCGGCAGCCTCGCTCACGTCCCCGCCGCACGCGACTGCGGGGCCGACCTGAAAAGCTCCTGGATTTCCCAAAGAGGCAACGAGTGGCACTTCTCTTCTGGACTCTATCACACCCAATCACAGGGCCCAAAAGCATGCTGCCATTTGAAGGCCAAGTCCAAACAATGTTCTCCAAACCCTTACAGGCGTGACTGGGACATCCAGAGCAGCCATACAGAACAACGCAGCCTCCCGCGTGGACAGAAAAGAAATCAGCTGCTTTGAGAAACACCTACCTATTATCTCAGGCCAGCTTAATAAATGATAATTATTCATTGCCCTGGGCGGTGTGGCTCAGATGGTCGGGCATTGTCCCGCACACCGAGAGGTCGCTGGTTCGGTTCCTGGTCAGGGCACAGACCTGGGTTATGGGCTCAATCCCTGGTAAGGGGTGTGCAGGGGGCGGACGATTGATGTTTTGCTCTCACATCGATATTTCTCTCCCTCTCCCTTTCCCTTCCTCTCTCTCTAAAAAAATCAATAAAAAATCTTTTAAAAAATTATTATTATTCATCATCTAAGCAAGAGCCACAGAAACACCTCACGCACTTGTTATAAATGCAGTTCCCTGCCCAAACTTACTGAAGCAGCAGCTTTGGGGGAAACCCAAGACTCCGCATCTTGAGCAGCTCTGCAGGCTGTTTGTGAACCACCTCTGGAGGAAAGGCCCAGAGGGTTTCTAGGTCAACCACACATGACTTATAACCTCTCTGCTGGGAAGTGACTTGACTCTCCTCCGACCCCAGCCTACACCTGGTAAAACTGGTGCCTCCCTGAGTCGCTGAATCTTAACAAGGAGTCACCAGTGTGGGGGACCGTGCAGCAGGCCAGGGAAGCAGGCCATTAAACCTTGCTGCAGGCACCCTGAGCACAGCCCCGAGGGACACGGGAAACCATCAAGGACAGACAGAAAGTAGAGCCCAGCTCCAGCAAACCCCACGGAACAGAACGTATGTGTAGGCAGGGCCGGCAGACGTTAGAATTCTGTCTCCACTGTTTTGCAGTATGTTTTCATATTTTTAGACAATGTTAGTTTTCTGATTATAAAAATTATACGCACTCATCGCAGAAATGTTAGCAAATTTGCTCTTCTCTGTTTAATTAAGTGCCACCACCCTGCAGAGAAGAGAGCATGCAGCTAGGAACAGCCACAGAGTCGCCAGGCTTGTCGGGGTGTGCAAACCCCGCTGGAATCTGATCAAAGCTGATTTATTATGAAAAATTAGGCAGCGTATCAAAGGCTTACATCATCTTCACATCACATAGACTTTGGGGGGAAAACTGCGGTCTCTCCTCTCTGCTGAGTGTATCCTCAAAGGATAAGCCTTCTAACTTCCTGTGGAGCAGAGTGACTCTAAATCAGATTTGCAAGTACGTGTGAAATGCTTGCTACTCAATGGGTCTTTGGTCAGCCAGGTAGGGCCTAGGGGGTGAGACAGAGCTTTCTCCAAGGCACTGGGCTCAGTCAGATGGGCCAGGAGAACTGGCCTAATCCCTCACTCAGACACAGGCCGGGCACCTTCCCTGGGAGCTTGTGTCTGCATCTGCTTTTAGTCCTGCTCATCGGCTGGATTCTCAGGCTTCCTGGTGACCTTGCACTTAATGCACGCTACTTCCTAAAACTCTTTCAAACTCTCCCTTCTATGAAACACAAACAGTATTTAAGTTTAACATCTTTTATAGTCAGAAATGCTTAGCGTTACTTCCAGAGCTGCAGCTACAGAATCACGTGGGAGAGAAGTTCAGCGGTTTACTTCTTGGTAAGTACTGACCCTGTAGCTATCCAGTTCTTTCCAGAATATTCCCCCTTCTTCCTTCCTCCCTTCTACTGCTATTACCTAAGAGTATGCTAATGACACATATTAATAATATAACCATATATTATGCAATTGCTATAATATGTAATATTTATTCTGGCAGAAAAGAACTATGGTAAATGATGCGGAATAAATTTCTTTAATGCACAATGTTTCTTTCCCCCAGGGTCAGCCTAGGGAAGGACACGTGATCTGCGAGGCTGTCTCCCCGCACACCTGCACTGTTAGGTCACTTCTGTGCAGAACTGAAGTCCTTTCAGTAGAAATGAGCCAAAGACAAAGTCATCCAGTATTTACATTAACACATCAAGTGGAGCCATTCATGCGCCATTTATAAGGTTTCCCCTCCCAGAAATAGAAGCTGCCTCCTCAACCCAGGACCAGACACCTCTCAGCACACAAAAGTCTGCTGAATAGATTCCCCAAATCTGGGATTTTAAGGACATACAGAAAGGCAATCTATTTTCCTAACTGTGTGGTCAAGGACATCAATTTCATATACCAAAAAAAAGGTTCAGGAATAATTAAATTCCAATAGGCAGAATTTGGTAGATTTACAAAGAAAACAAACATCTTTAATATAATTCTCTCTACCTCAGAGCCAACATCAAGTATGAGTAACTGCAGCTCTCTTTTGCCAGCTCATCTTCAAAACACACATAAGCAAACCTGAGTTGAAATTTAGTTTTTAAAAAACTCTCAGGGTTAACCACTTTTCAAAATTATCCTTCACTTACATTTACGCTAACCAATATGACGATGGTGTGATAAATCAGAACTGAAAACACAGCTCATTCCTGAGATCAAATCCAGGACAGTTCCCATAAACACATTTCCAGAGATCATGATTCTCAGATTCGTCTAAGACTGTTTGCACTTCATGAATTCACTTCTTAAAATCTGCAACAGTTTTTTACTGACTTCATCTTTTCCTTCTGGTGGGTCAGCAACAAAATGCCAACCAACATGGATTCTGGTTGTTGACCCGCCTCCTCTGAACTGCAGAAGATGCTTCTCCTACCACTTTCCCCAGGAGCTTTAGTTTGCATCTTGCAGATTCATGATCAACAGAGTGTAAAAAAAAAAAAGTCTTTCCTGCCCCCAGTCTGTGGGCACACTTACCAGATATGTCCTAGATATTTCTGAAGAAAACTAACATCCACAAGCGATTTCCCCACTTGTACCATGGCCCAATAAAATGTCACAGAAATCCCCAAGAAGGAGCTGCTCCTCTCTACCGCTGCATAAAATTCAGAATCCTCAACACTCACAAGACATCCCCTATTTCTGAAATTTCATGAGCACCCACAAGCTCAAAGAATGAACTGAAGCTCATATTACTTCCAATTCCATTTCAGGAAATCAAATGTGTTTGGGTATAAGTTACACATGGTCCGGCTCCCTAACACTCCCAAGTATATTGCTTTTAAAGTGTGTATGTGTGTGTGTGTGTGTGTATGTGTGTGTGTGTGAGAGAGAGAGAGAGAGAGAGAGAGAGAGAGAGAGAGAGAGAGATTTTGGAGGGCATTTATATGTCAGTCCAAAAAAAAGTAAATTTTTCAATACCACAAACTTCCCTTTCAATGATAAGCCACTTTCCATTTTTTGGTAAATGTTTTAGGCAAAGAATATAAATGAGTAAAACTTACTAGGCCACTGAGGGCGAATGAATTACATGGAGAACACAAAGAGCTGGCAGTGTCGTGAACGGTCTGAGCCAGTGTAGACGGCTGAGCTAAACAGTACAGGTGTGGACGGCCAATCTGGATAACGCAGCTCCGGCCCCAGTTTTTTCTGTAACAGTTATTTGGGTCAAGTCTATTAAAAACCATCGCTTCATTTCCTCCCTGCGGCTACACCTGCGTGGACGTGTGGGGCTGAAGGAACTGGGGCGCCTTCCTCCCCGGACTTGCCTTGGCAGGAGCCTCCCTCCCTCACCCTCTCACCTCCAGGGCGCGGGAGGTGCTGTTGGGGGCAGCTGGGGGTGATGTGATGTGATGTCATGTCATGTGATGTCATGTGATGTGATGCGCTGCGCTGCGCTGCTGAAGGGCCAGCGTGCCCAGATGGAACAGTGTCTGAGCGCCGCAGACCCCCTGCTCGCCGTCCGGTCCCTTCCTGGGCGACCCCGGCAGCGTAAAGGAGGCGGAATTAAACAGAAGTCAGAGGATTTGGATGCGCTTCCTCCGCTAACTCAGAGCTCAGCGATGTCCTCTGCAAAGGGCCAGCAGTAAATATTTTCAGCTTTGCGGCCACGGGTCTGTCGCTGCTGCTCCACCCAGCCATTCCCGCGCCCCGACGGCATGTGCGAGGCGGCCACGGCTGTGTCCCAGGAAAACTGTCGTTACAGGCAGTGAAACGTACATTTCATATCATTTACATGCGTTATGAAACAGTCTTCTTCTCGATTTTTTTCAACCATTTCACAATGTGAAAACCATTTTCTTAGCTCACGGGCCGGTGGTGGGCGCGGTGGGCAGACCCCCGCACTGACTGATGTGCGGGCAGGCATCCGTGCAGGTCCAGCTGGGGGGGAGCCCGCAGCTTCCTGGGCGAGGGGACCTACCTTGATATGAGCTGCTGGGTCTGGGACAGTCTGAATCATGTCCTTCAGGAGGCCAGCTCACTCACCGTCCACGGAGAAGCGGAGACAGCTGGGAGACAAAAAGGGACAGTGAGAACCGGAATGACAACCGTGCTTCTGTGTTTTCTTTTCCCGAAGGAGTGAATACAATAAAGCCATGGTAAAACAAATTTCAAAATTTCAAAATAAATCACAGCTTTGCAGGAAGCATGTTTGCCCGAAAGTGTCCTTTAGGTCTGTGCAGTTCATGAAGTGACTAGAAAACTCACTTCCCTTCTTTCCGGAACATCACTTAATTTTATCCCAATAAAGCCCCACTGTGACATGCGCCCCCAGACCCACGTCACATGTCGTTCATATGGGTCATTTTACATGGGCCGCATCTACGAATGATCATTAATTAAAGAAGTAGTTAGACACACACACAAAAAAGAGACACATTCTCTTCTATGGAGAACACTGGACTTTGGAAGTTCCCACCAAAACCAATGCCATCCACACAGCTTGTTAGGCTTCAGCCTTAAGCTCTCCATAAAAGGCACGGCTGCCCTTCACTGAGTGGGGCACTTTTCATTTAATCCTGACAGTGACTGAGAGTTGGAATTCCCACAGTCAGGGCCATGGAGACCCAGGGAGGTCACAGATCTGTCCAGGTTCACCTGGTTAGTCAGCAACGGAGCCAGGATTCAAGTCAGGGTGGTCTGGTTCCAAGGCTCATGAGAAATTCGTTTGACATAATAGATTTTGTCCTGTATTTTGAAAACACTGTAATTCACTTTAAAATTCAATTTAAATGGAATTCAACTTAAAGGTGTCCACACTGTAGGGTTACATACTTCATCCAACATTTTCCTTTTTTCAGATTATAAACTAGTGCATTCTGGTTATTGTCTGTTGGCCCTGCCCCATTCCCAAAGCCCACATCCACCCTTCTCTGCCCTGGCCCACGACACTCCCCACCCCCGTGAGACCAACCCCTACAGACTTCCCCAGCAAGGCACCCTTGCCTTCTGGCTGCCCCCATCAATGTGACACTACCTGGAGGTCAGGGGGGAGGACAGAAGGGGTATTTCCTCCCCTTCCCGCCACCAACCCTAGGGACCTTCCGTATTTGGCCATGGTTCTGGCCACAGCTGGATTCTATGGTGGCCTCTCCCATTCTCGGGCCCTCCCACAGGGCTGCAGGCCCCAGTAACCGTTCCCACCCAGCCTTTGGCTCTCTGGAGCTCTTAGCCGTCAGTTGACACTGAAAATACCTTTTCTAATTTATACCTTTAGGTGCCATCACTTTTTTTTAGTCGACTGTCATTTTTTTCTTCTCATAAGTCTGGCCCATGACTAAGTAGTAGTTAACCCCAAATAAAAACGAACAGCCTGATTCCAGGACTATGGACACAGAGCTTCCTTTGAAGGCTGCTGTTGGACACGTTATTCTAGGGACATGCCCAAGATTCATGGGAGCCCCAGCCACGTCTGTATTGCGCCCTTTCTGACCCTCTCTGGTGCGCACCATCCACCTCGAGCATAGACGGGCTGCTCATAGGAGCCCTCGCCTCCAGGTCTGTATGCTCAGGGTCTGTCCCCCACAAGGGCTCCAGGGAGTCCTGCCAAGGTCATGGCAGACTTGACGCCATAGGCATTATTTCTTATTACAGACAATTTTCTGGATCTTGGAACGCATGCAATTTTTCCCTTACATCTAAAGCAAGTCCTTTTGGGGGATAACATTTGCTTTAAAAATGCAAAAGGAGTGGAGCACTGTCTTGAAACTGCATTGGGCAGCTGCTTGGTGCACCCATGACAGAGAAGCTAAGAGAGGAGGGGCCTGGCCAGAGGAGTGTTGGCACAGGAATTCTCTGACTCCCCAGGATGACCTACTCTAGAGAGCAGCAGGCGCCCCAGGAAAACACCCTCTGCTCCTGGGGTCATTCAGCCCAGCAGAGGCCCATCCATAGGCCCTCCTCCCAACAGGAAGGCTCCCGGCTGCACCCCTCATGCTCAGGAACATTTCGGCATCTCTGGGATAGCTCACCCCTCACCACCGCTCCCTCCCCACACACATGCTGCTGCTCATACCGCAGGCTGAGTGTGTCCCCACCCGCAATTCCGGGCTGATTTACAACCGCCTTTGATCCAGAGAACACAGCCGAAGGGATGTTCCGGGGGTTTCTGAGCCCAGGCCTCAAAAGAACCAGAGACTTCCCCTTCCTGCCTCTAGGAACCCAGTCCCCACGCCCTGGGCGGAACAGCAATGCGGCCATGGCCCAAGGTGGGTGCCCAGCTGACAACCAGCACCACGTGCAAGGCCTGCGAGGGATCAACCTGGACGCCAGAACAGTCATCTCTCCCTCAGGTGACCACAGCCCCTGTGGACATCAGGAAGGAAGAACTGTCCAGTTGAGTCCTGTGGGCCCACGTAACCATGAGGGATAACACACTGGTTGGTGTTTTAAGCTACTAGGATGGGACAGTTCAGGACACCTGTAGATCACTGCAACCTGCACGAGTTTCAGACAGAGAAGATAAAAGACGAAATGCCTGTTTGACTGGCACACTAGGGGGGATCACAATGAAGGCCCGGTTTCCCCCTCCCCCCTGCGCCCACACCTTCTGCCACGTGACTGTGGCTCCCCTCACCACAGAGAAAGAATCAGTTTGCCAAACCCGTTTTGGGGGATGTCCATGTGACCTGCTTCACCCAAAAGAACGCAGCCAAAAGACAGTGAGCCTGTTCCTAGCCCAGGTGTCCAGAGGCATGAAGTGTTTCCACTGCAGCTCCCACCGCCACGGGAGCGCGCCCGGGCCAGCAGGCTGGACGCCGACAGGCACGTGGAGCCAAGCAGAGTCCTCCCCGCTCCCCAGACAACACCATTCTAGATCATCTAAGCAAACCCCAGGCACGGGAGGGAAACAGCAAAACCGAAACTGCCCAGCAGAGGCCAGCCTGCACGGCCAAGCCACAGGCTCGTAAGTGAAATAAATGCTTCTTGTTTTAGAGATTTGGGGGCAGTTTGTTACACAGCACTTTGTGACAACGAATTATTAATATACGCAATAGGCCTTGAACGACCAGGTTATCTACATCCCCCATAAAACTTTCCACCTAGAAAGATCAAAGGAGACTCAAACAGGAATTTGAAAGGAAACTAACTTCATCCCAACTCACAAACATACCATTTCCATCCAGCTATGGGGTGAGGCCTCACACCCTGGCCCCAGACTCAAAATGAGTTGGTAAACTGAACTGTAACCAAGAAACGTCTACGATAGGGCGCTGCAAGTGTTCAGGAGCCCTCGCCAGGAGCAGCTGGTTCAGACTTCCCATGGAGGGCCCAGCCAGCCCCTGGGGATTCCAAGTATAATGAAGTGGAATTAGCATCCTGGAGGTCCAAGAGCAAAGAAACATCATGGGGGGGTTACAGCGGCCGTTCAGTCTATAACCAACCAAGACACAGACTTCATGGACAACCACTTATGTCTCCAGTCCTTTAGGGGGAAGTCTTGGATACTTTCAACGCATCAAAGATGGGTGGCTGGGAAGGGAACAGATTGGTGAATAGGTCACACAGATGCACCACAGTCCACCCCTCAAGCAATGGAGATGGAGAAACAACTCATGCAGACACGCGAGATCAGTCCCTCGAGCAGGCAGCTGGCGGCAGTGCCCGAAGAGGGACGTGTGACAGGTAAAGGAGGGAGGGCGCTGGCTCACAGAGACAACCAACAAGGGGCAACGAAGGAGGCTGGAGGAACATGAGGCATGTGGATTGGCGGGAAGGCAGGGGAGCAGGGAACAAAGATCCCCCCAGCTCCCCACATCCGGGAGCTGGGCCGTGATCCTAACCCACTGCCGCCGCCACCAGGTCACCAATCACAGGAATTTATTAACCATTCAGTGTGAGTGGCGCTGCCACCCACCAAACCAGGTCAGCAAATGCAATGCCCCTAAAGGCCGGGGGGATGAACTTTCTCCCATCCTTCCCAGGCCTCACCCTCGCAAATCTCCTTGGCTGTTTCCGCAGCCATGTGGGTCCTGCTCTTTTAGGCCATTCGGGAGGTATTTCATGGATTTTTTAAAGAGCACTTCTAATTTACTTTTGTGTCTCTAATGATCATGTCTGAAATATTTAGTATTTGATGAGTGATGCGATGGTTTGGCATCACCGTGGGAGCCTTTTTATTTCCTATTTTACCTGCCTTTGAACCCTTGCAGAACGTGCATCTGTGTTGTCTAAAATCTTCTCTTTAATATCTGTTTCTGATGATCAATTCCCTTGGTAATGTGCATGTTCCTGATTTAGTGTTTCATGATCCAGCATTATTTCATTATTGGGTATCTTGGAAAACAAAATGCACTGACATTCAACAGGATTTTGCTTGTCTCTCCTTCATTCTTGCTTTTAAGATGCCAGTGGCTTACTAAGGAGACATGAATTTGATGTGGGTTACTTCAGCTGTAACTGCCTAAAGTGTAGACGGGCACACAGTGCCAAAAAGAAAAGAAGTCCTTTGAAATTAGGGAGGCCGTCCCGCAAAAGAGTGAAGAGAAGATCGAAATATTTGGAGGGCTAGGGCAAGAATAAGAATGGAATTGAAATAAATTGTCTGCCCTGCAGGCAAGGGACCCCCTTACAGTCATGTGGACACCCCAGTCCACGTGGCCATGCTCCGTCCAACAGCTGCCCTGCCGGCCACCCTTCAGGTCTAGGGAAACGCACAGAGCATCTTCTCAAGGAGACGGGCTTCAGGAACAAGGCCTGTGCAGGCCCCAAAGATGCTCAGGCCAGTCTGGGCAGGGGCTCCGGGCTCCAGGCACCCAGGTGTGGGGTAGGGTGGGGGCAGGGCTCTGGTGGAGGGGGTGCAGGAACTGACAGAGGTGCCAAGCCAGATGAAGGATGGAAGCCAGGGAAAGGCCACTTTACAATCTATAAAATGAGCTCTTACTGTGGTATAATACAAAAGATAGTTGGTTCCTGTCCCCAGTTCCTGGCACAGAGCTCTTAAAACCTTCGGAGGTTTCTACTAAGCGTGATAGGAGCATCTTTTGTTCTAATGAAGTAGCACTTGGAAGACACAAGACTGCTTTGGGGTGGCCTCAGGAAGCCCAAGCCTTCGTTGGAAGCTGGGAATTTCAGGCCCACCCCCGTCCTCTGCAGAAGGGAGCAGAGCTAGAGACTGAGTTCATAATTGATGGCGCCTATGTGAGGAAACCCTCATCAAAACCCATAACCGCCAGGATTCCCACAGCTTCCAGGTGGGCGAACACATCCATGTGCCAAGAGGGTGGTGCCCCCAAACCACCGGGACAGAAGCCTCAGGACCCTCGGGACCTCGCCCTGTAAACCTCTTCATCTGCCTGTTCCCTTGTGCCCTTTACAATAAACTATAGTAGTAAGTATAGCACTGTCCTGAGTTCCGTGAGTTCTTCTAACAAATTAGTGGATTGTGGAAGCTGGGTGGGTTGTGGGAACCCCCAAGTCTGTCTGTAGCCAAGTTGGACAGAAGTGTGGGTCACCTGAGGGCCTGATACTTTAAACTGGTGTCTGAGGAGAGGGTCGTAGTCTTGTGCGACTGAGCACTCAACCTGTGAGGTCTGTCGCTCTCGCCAGGTAGAGTCAGAACTGAATTAAATTGTCGAATACGGGCATCCCCCACTTTTCAAAAGTTCGTGGCACGCCACTTTATTTTAACATAAGACCTACATTGGTACCTGCTTTCACTAACCAAAAGAAACCTAAAGAGGAGTTTCACTTTTCTGGAAAAAAAGGCAAAAACGAGAATAGTGTCAGCATTTGCCACGCAGGCAGTCATTACAGAAGCAGCTCACCCTGAGCAGCGAGAGGGGCCCGCCGAGCTCCCCGGGGCCACACGCAGCCTCACATCCAGCTGCGGGAGCTCTGAGCTGCGTCTGTGAACATCTGGGCTTTATCTCCACTTATTTTGTGCACCATTAGCCAGATGTGTCCCTAAGGTATCAGAAAGCCGAAGAGAGCTCGTAAGGGGTTAGTTACCCTTAACATAGAACTGAACGTAATTAAGCATTTCGATCCTGGAGAATGACATAAAGACACTGTGCCTGAGTTGAATTTTGGGCCTGGCAACTCTCAAAATTTTTTCCAAAGAAATTTAATTGCGATTGCTTCTTTGCTTTGTGACATTTTGGCTTATGGAAGATTTCATAGGAACGCTATCGTTTCAGATAGCAGGGGAAACCTGTACTCAGTTGGTGTTGGAGAGTCAGCAAATTGGTTGATGGTGTTGGAAAAGACACCACATATCTGATGTCAGGGAGGGGAAAAAAACCCTCAATTACCTATCTCCAAATTAATGCTCAGTGGTTCATGCAGGTGTGAATGCAAGACTTGGCCAGCACCCATCCCAACTGGCTAGAACCAGAGGTGAACCACTGTGAGGATTACGTTGAATTATGCCTAAGAAACCTTCCCAGTGCCAGGCACACAACAAGCAAACATCTTCATACTGTATCAAATGCAACTTTGATAAAAATAATTCTCAATAAATAAATTGCTAATTTTTATAAGGGCCCTTTGTCAATTGACTAAAAACATCCTCAGTTTTAAAGCTGAATTTTTAATTTAAAGCTAAACAGTCATTAAGTAAAAACATGTTAGGCAAAGTGGCTATAAGCAAACTCATTCTAATGACTCCATTCGTGAACGCGCCGGATGTTAGCACACTTGTTCTGGATGCGCGGGTGTGAGGCGTGTCAGCCTGATCCGCTAATTCTACCATGAGAACCGTGTAGGTCTGAGTCCTGAGCACCCTTCCTGGGGCAGTGGTCTACTACATGAAGTGGGAGGATGGGAGAGACACCCCCCTGGGGCCCATGACTTAGGGAGGCACCCCTCTCCAGGTTCCTGCAAGTGCAGGGCCGGCACCTGAGAGGGAGCAGCTCCTTAAATTTTACGCCTCGCCTGGCTCACCCTAGTCCCAGCCCCGGTGCCTTCAACCAGAAGTAAGCAAGAGAGACCGGAGAGAGGTGGAAGTAGGAGAACCCAAATGTACCTCTGAACTGAACTAAAAATAAGAAATTGAACTTCTTCAGTAGGATATGGCTTATCTTTCCACAGGAATACAACTCCCACTCTCAGTGGGTTGATCTACATCGATCCCCTGACCCCTCATATGCCGGAGTCCAAATCCCCAGTAGCTCAGAATGTGACCTTATGTGGAGATGGGGTCAGTACAGAGGTAATGGAGTTAAGTGAGGCAATTAGGATGGGCCCTAATGCAATATGGCCGGTGTCCTTATGTATTTATTTATTTATTTTAAAAAGGGAAATGCGGACACAGAGACCTGTGCAGAGGAAGACAGATGGTGTGAAGCCACAGGGAGAAGATGGAGCCACAAGCCGAGGAGAGGGGCCCGGAGCAGTTTCCCTCTTGGCCTCAGAATATGCCTCTTTAGAATACTGATTTTACTTTAAGCTGGTTATTTTTTAAAAATTTTTTTTGTTGATTTCAGAGAGAGGAAGGGAGAGGGAGAGAGAGAGATAGAAACATCAGTCATGAGAGTCCTGCACGCCCCCCACCGGGGATCGAGCCCACAACCCGAGCACATGCCCTGACTGGGAATCAAACCCCGATCGCCTGGATCCTAGGTCGATGCTCAACCGCTGAGCCACGCCTGTCCAGGCAAAGCTGGTTATTTTTAAGAACTAAAAGACTCATGAAGAACCTCTGATTTCCTGATTACCTACCTAAAGAAATTCAGAGAGAAAAAATAAAACCGGCTTAAAGAAAGGGGACATCACCTTAGCATCCTGGGACAACCTGCAAAGTCTGCTAGTTAGACACCCTTCTGTGTCCCATTATTCCTGGGTGGCTCCAGCAAGACTTGGTTTACCAAATGTTTGTCCTGTCTCATCTACCTGTGAAGAGCCTGCCTTGCCTTTGAAGTCCAAACCACGGCTGGCTTTCTCCTTAACTCAAATGGCACCTGAGCCTCAACTGCTCAGATTGTCCTCGGGTCCTACATTTTTATGGAACACCTGTGTGTACGTATGTAATGAATTTGGTTATTTTTCCCTGTTAATCTGTTTCATGTCACTTTATCAGCCCAGCCAGAAAACCTAAGAGGGAAAAGAGGGGAAGTTTTTCCCTCTCCTTGATCTCAGATATCTATTCTCTAAAACCCGGGCAGTGGTCTCCTAGAATAAATGTTGTCTAACACCCCTCCCCCACCAAAGTCTGTGGGTCTTTGTTACAGCAGCCCTGGCAAACTAATACACCTTTATCAAGGGACTTGCTGTAATACATTAACTCATGAAGATTAGCGGCCCCGATGGGGACATGGCCTCAGGAACCACATCCAATTTACCCAACCGCACTATTTCTTCCTGGACACCCACTCTGTTCAAGGGACATCCCAGGCACCACGTAATGTTGTCCCATATACTAATTGCTCCTGGCTTAATTTTGGCAAAGCAGAAACTCTTTTAAGCTCTGTGGCCTAAATGAGTATTACATGGGTCCCACCATAACCCCTTCCGCCCACTGAAATGCTTTTCTGAGGGCAGTCTCAGCCCTGATGGGCTAAGGCTTGGGCATGTTTTGTGTATAAAATGCTAAAATCTTCCACCCTTTTTTTTTTTTTTTTTTGC